GGTGTCCTCTCCTTTAACTTTAGGGGTAGCAGAAAACTTGGGAATACAGTAAGACTTTTCCACCATTAGTGGTGATGGGGATTTCATGTCCAAAAGTAATTCCAGCAAATCCCACATTCTGTAAACTGTCTCCATTCCCTCCAGACACACTTTGAGGCCAAGTACCCATAGATATTTGCTTTTAACTTGGTTTTCCATTATTTCCAACTTTTGTTGAACAACGGCGTTTTCTAATTATAGTAGAGATTTTTAAGATGGTCCAATTCAGTTCGCATCATATCATGTTGCACTATAACAGTTTGTAAATTAACCTCCGCTTTTTCCACATTACCTTCCAATTTTACACCCGTGGGGCAAATGCTTCAAGTTTACCTTAATCCTCTCTTTACTGACTTTAATAGACTGTAAAATAGTTTTAAGAGGAATCTCAAAAGGCTTGTCAGGCTTTACCTGGTCCTTAGGCCCTGGAATTCTTTGAGGTAGCAAATGCATTTACTATGGTAAGTAAACAGAGATCACTCTTCCCTTCTACTCTAAGCTAGAATGATATATCTGATACTGAGAATAGAGACAATAAGAAATACTGGGCAAAGACTAACAAGAATTTTCGGTGTAGTTTGTTGAGAAACCTTCGAAGGAGGACAGAATGCCATGGGACTTGGACACAAATCTGAACTTCATCACTTGCTATCTCAGAGAGACTGTGGGCAAGAAGATGAACCTGTCTTGGTTTCCTCATTTGTAACACAGGGAAAAGAACAGTACCTATCTTAAGGGTGATAAAGAGGATTAAATGAGATCATGCCTGGCACATAGTAGTTCATATTTAATGAGTCCTTATTGGCCACAGAAATCTGGGATTGGAGTTGAATTATGTGCTCCTTTCTCATTTGAATGCTGCCCAATAAGAGACCAGGGCAAGAGCTGGGATAAGTAGCTAGGGATGGTGGAGGGGAATGATAGAAGATAACAAATAATGTTTTCAGCTCTTTTCCTCAAGCTCTGTTTCCCTTTCCCCATCTTATAGAATAGACTGTAGCACATTTGCACTAGTCTGTTCTGGGATATTGAGTTTACTTTAAAAGCACTTAAAGAAATGCTCCACTGCAAAATGGAGCATCCTCTGAAGGGCCAGAGCCCTGTCCAAAGCAGCGGTAGGCACCGGAGCCTTGGTGGCCAGACCAGTGTGCTGGAGGTGTGTCTGTGACCCAGGAGAAGTGAGGCTCAGACAAGTACAATTACTGTGTCTTCTTAATTTTCCTTCTAAAGTTATTCGACGGGACTGTGGTTTTGCTTTGAGCAAAACCCCCTTAACGGCCGGGAGTCTAAAAGCAAACAACATTATTTTATTAGGTTACCCTAGCAGATGAAAGCAGAATGTTCCATTTGGACTCTTTTTGGAGTCAATTAATGCATTAGCTAAAAACAAACCCTTTTAAAAGAGAGTTCCCGTTGTCTTCAGCAGCTTTGAACGGAAAGCTTCAGAAATGGAGAGGTGAGCTGTAAACAAGTAATACATTCATTGATAAGAACAACTATTGTACTAATACATTTCAACTCGTGTTGGAATGTAAAACTCATCTCAAAGGATGTGATTTTTTAAAAGCTTTATTTTTAACCAAGACCAGGGAATTTAAATTTATCATGTAGTTTATGTGACAATTCCTGACTCAACTAAAACAAAATTTAAATAGCTCTAGTTGTTTTGATAAAATATTTATTTATGACTTGTAAATGATCAATACATAAAACTGTGATTGTATTCAGTTACGGTTTTAACTCCAGCAGTAGAAAAGGCCTGTAAAGTAGGACAATAATGGAGATCACTCATTGGGAAAAAAATACAAATAGTTTATTTCCACCTTCACAAACTCATGTGCCTCTGATCATCATGCAAGCACCATGAAATTAAATACTTATGTCAGAATATATTTGTCTTACATGATTCAAGATAAAGTGAATTTTAAAAGCAAATGGGTGCCAATGATGGGGAGATGACAGGAACAGGGCAGGCAGCAATAGGGTAACATGCGTTTTTCAGAGTGTTTCTCAAAAATTCATTCATTCATCCATCCTTCAAAATAACTAGGAGCCTCTACTAAGAGAATCAGAGACACAATCCCAACCATCATGAATCCCGATGTGGACTTTCAAGCTGAAGACTGCCTGTTTCAAGAGACAAGAGGTGGCCGGGCACAGTGGCTCACACCTGTAATCCCAGCACTTTGGGAGGGCAAGGCGGGTGGATCACCTGAGGTCGGGAGTTCGAGATCAGCCTGACAAACATGGAAGAACCCCGTCTCTACTAAAAATACAAATAATTAGCCAGGTGTGGTTGCACATGCCTGTAATCCCAGCTACTCGGGAGGTTGAGGCAGGAGAATCGCATGAACCTTTGAGGCGGAGGTTGAAGTGAGCCGAGATTGCGCTGTTGCACTCCAGCCTGGGCGACAAGAGCAAAACTCCATCTCAAAAAAAAAAAAAAAAAAAGAGGCAGAGGTGACAATGCTGTTAGATGCCTCAGACATTAAAATGAAGCAATGAACTCCCCATGGTCTTCCTATCATAACAGAACTCTTTGGTGAAGGTTATTCCCCAAAGGTAAAACAAAAGGCACACACCCCTTTGTGGGCAGTACCATTTGTGGGAAGAACATTTCACTGCTCTGACCAGGGAACGTGTCTCTTAAAAATCTTTGGAAAAATCCACATCCTGAAAGCATTTGATTACCCTGAATTGAAAATGGGATTTTGCTCAGTGGCAAGGATACAAATTCATCCCCACAAGTATGCCTTCTGTGGTAAAAGGCACATGATGACTGTTAGGGACAGTTTATTTGGAAGGTTGATAAATGGGGCCATAAGACAGGACTCATCAAATTTCTTTTTTGAGATCTCCCTCCCTCTACCTGAAGGATTCCAGCATGACTTGCATTCTGTATACCTAGTTGGAGGAGATTACAAACAGTTTCAAGCACCATTTGTTCCCGTTTTGATTCCCCACTCACTGGGTTATGTGCTGTTAAACATTTCCAGAAGACTGTCAAAATGTAAGCATCCTGAGGTTTACATAGGCCATGCCATTAAATAACATATAAGCACAACATTTTAAACACTGTTTTCCAGCAATGGTAAATATTTTAGCTAAGTAGAAACTAAAGCTTGAAATGCAATAAGCACTTAAATGACTCCTTTCTGTGCCAGAATTCTTATTTTCCTCTGTGCGACCCTGGCTTCTGGGATTAAGGCAACCCCAGGGAGCTCAGCAAATGGTTGTGGGTTACGAGGTGTAGCAGGAGCTTGGCAACAGCATGCCACCCAGCCTCAAGAAACCCTGCCATGACTGGAACCCAAGTATCATTGTGTTCACTTTGTGGTCAGCTTCACATATTTTCCCCTCCTTGGAAAAGAAAAAAAAAAAAAAAAGCTGCTACGAAAGTTAGACCTCTCTCCCACCCCCCAAGGAAACACATGGTGGACCAGCAGCAGAGTGGAGACTCGGGGCAGGCAGAGCAAGGGAGGCTGGTCCCCTCAGGTGGGCAGGCAAGCAGGCAGGCATGTGAGAGTTACCACCTTCAGTTCCTCAGCCCTACAGAGGGAAACGACCCACGGCACCGACAACAGCCACACCACTGATGACAACACGGATTGTGCTGTCACCAGAAAGAAGGGAAACCCAGAACAAATTTTACAGTGAGTTTCACCACACGGTGATTGCAGTCCTGTTCAGGGCATGTCACAGTAACACCACCCACTGAGCAGAACCATGAGGGAAATCAGGCCTCCTTCAAAGTCTCCCATCACTGCCTATCCCTGAACAGAGTAAGGCAAGGATTTTAAGGAAACACAGACATGTAGCCCTACCTCCATTGGTTTCCTGGGGCCCCTGACTTCTTATTCACTAAAGAGAATTGTTCTCAGTGACTGGCAAGGCTAAGTGAAGCCAGGATGCTCTCTCATTAAATGCAACTGCTCTTTAAGAGGCAGGCAGGGCAATGGACACGTTATGAGATTTTTGGTCAGTGTTTTTACCATGAAAACTTGATCTTCCATAAAATCTCCAACAAGTGAAGAAAAGGAATGCAGAGATGCAGGGCCTTTTCTCCACATTCAAAAGACCAAAGCTGCATGTTTTGTTATGATAACACCATCCACATTTCTAAGACATATATGGAGTTCTGTGACTAGTCTCTGAGATTATAATACAGATATTTATCACTTATCACACTGAATTTAGGGAGGGGATTCCTCTTTGGTTTTGTCAAATAATCACAGAAGGAGCCATGTATGTTATCTGTCCTGTTTCTAGTGAAGACAAAGCTCTTCACTCCCCTCCTGACCCTCCCCCTCTAAAAAATCAGCCACTTATGGCGGGTATTGACTATTTCCAATTTTAAACTGCAACTTTAAATGTCAGCCTGTTGACTTACAGAAACAGACTGACAAATGGCTGTCTGCTATGGAGACAAACTCTGGAAACTCAAAATGTTCATACAGACTGCCAACAGATTAATTAGTAGCCTCTTTGGAAGCATGATCATGGTCTAAGAATAGCCCTAAATTCTGTTCAAGACTAGCTTCTTTCCCCAAATCATTATAGTGCTAGCCAAATATTAACAAATGTTAGATACAGTGGTGTATGGTTTTGGTGTGTGCAAGAGTTAGACTGGATTAGAAAATACAACTGCCATTTCATACCAGTTTTCATGGCTAAGTTCTACTAAAACTACGTGACCTTCATCATCACAATAAACTGCTGAAAGTGCTGGAATGACTAGAACAAAGGTGTCCGTTTGCTAGTTCTTTGCTTATCTATGGTTAAATACAGTTTCTTGTACTCACTTTGAACCATGAAAATGAGGGAACACATTACCTTGAAAGATACTGAGGATATATCCACGTCAATATGAATAAAATTCCCCTCAAAACATAACATGTAGACCAATAATGACAATTACTGTAGCCACTCACCATGTAACATGCACAAGACAAACAACTCTATCACTTTACAAATAGTTTATTTCCACCTTCACAAACTCATGTGCCTCTGACCATTATGCAAGGCAACATGAATTAAATACTTATATCAGAATATATTTGTCTTACATGATTCAAGATAAAGTGAATTTTAAAAGCAAGTGGGTGCCAATGATGGGGAGATGAGGGGAATAGGGCAGGCAGCAACAGGGTAACATGCATTTTTCAAGAGTGTTTATTAAAATAGGCAGTAATCAGTACATGTACATCACATGAGCAGTTTTTCAAAATTAGCACTTCCAGGAGAGGGGCTACATCTCAGTTTTTTCCGTCTATATAATAAAATGCCAAAAGTACTTCCCTAAAGTACAAAGGCATTTCCCTAGTAGTCTTGGTACCAGTAACAGAATATGATTACTAAACATCTCCAATGTGGTTTTCATTACAAAGAAACATGTTTCACATAAAAGCTTCATAATATAATCCAGAGACAGAATTTGTGCATGCTTAAAATTTGAAACTAGGCTGAATATATTTGATATATATTTTTTTATGTCTTCCAGTGTTTTTTATTTGTATAAATATGCACCCAGTTTCCTACCAGTTTAAAACACACACAGAACACTGCTCCGAGCACCATGATTGCCTTACAGTAGCCTCTTTGGGACTACAATCCTAGTTCAAGGAGGGGAGTACTAATTTCTATTCTGACTTGCTCCTTTGCCCAAATCATGTTAGTGTTGACCAAATCCCATCAATTTTCAGATACAAACAAAGGTTTCTGGGCAGAGGGCCAAAGAATAATTATGAATAATTTCCCAATGATCTGGTTAAGAAAACACCCAGAAAATGAATGATTTCACATGATAAAAAAGCCTGGATTTGAATTTAAACAAGAGATGGATGTAAAAGGGATGAAGCATCGCTTCACTCCCAGGAGGGATGCTCTTTACCTGGATGCTCTTTACTGAGTACCCACAAAAAGACAGCACTATCCTGGGGCTGATCTTCCTACGGGCCTCCACCAATAGCCTCTGAGGTAGGTACTGATGGCTTGAAGAGAGGTAGGTAAAGTCCAAATTTGTTTTCAATTCCTGCAAACGTAGCAACTGCCAGTTTGTAGCCCCCAACATGATCAGGATTCGGGGCAGGCAGGTTGATCCTGGATTTAGGAACTGGCTCTGATCCCATGGGTTTTCTAAAAGAAGGGAAAACAGAGTAAGAAGCTGAATTTATTTTTTTTGTTTTAACTTGGTAAAAATAACATTCAAAACCTGTTCAAATATGTAATGCAAAGGAGTTGATACATTCTAATCAGTTGTATGTTCCCTTGGAAATGACCTTGTTAACACAATTTCAACATTTCCCTAAATCTCTTCTATTTTATTATAGAGACTAGACTGATGTACCTTTCTCCATGACAGAGTATTAGAAGCAGCCAAAATTTAGCAGCAGATTTAGCATGATACTTACACTCCTCCAAAATCAATGTAGAACCATCGTTGTAGCAATTCGTAAGTCAGCAAAGTTACGCCAAACTGGGGTGAGGACCGAAACACACGAGCTTTAAAAAAATGGAGAAATCACAGATATAATTAGATTTTTAAAAAATTTACCTGATACCAAAGAGTTAGTTAAGAACAAATTATTTCCATACCACCAGCTCCTTTCCACAGAGCTTTTGGGCCTTCTTCACGCAGTATCTTTTTAAAGCAGTCTATCACTCCACTGTAAGTGGTCTGGCCAGCCCGGGCAGCCACCTGTAATCTCGTCTTGATAACATCAGCAGGGGTCACTAAAGATGCCGCAGGCATACCTGCAGGAGAGACACAACACCATCTCAGTCTGGTCACATTCTCACTATATAAAAATAACTGTGCTTTGAACTGCTGGCCGTGGAAAGAAAGTTAAAAATCCGATTCAATAAAATACCTATTTCGCTGTCCTCTATGGGAAGTGCAACCGTGACTCTCCTGTGTGCAAGATGTCTGCTCCTACACCCCTCCCCACCCGACTCACACCTTCCCTTGCCCAAATCACTCGGCCTTTGTTTCTATTCCTAAATCTTTAAATATTTTTAAGAAATTGTTTATCAACAACACTACTTCAAGTGTTCGAAAGTGGAGAAAGCGGTTTTCTTTTCTTTTTTCTTTCCTGTTGAAATCAAAAACTTGCAAAGTTATTAGGTCCGATTTTTCAGAGGTGAAGCTTGTTATGCGTTTCCTCTTCATGGTCTTCTGTGGCTGCTGGCAGTCACTGGAGGTACTTTCTCTCACAAATTCAACCACCCCCTACTCTCCAAACCCCAACCTCTCCAGTTACACCAGAAAAAGACTTTACTGATAGCCAAAAAAACACTGCGTGCGTGTTGGGGGATGGGAGGTGGAGGTTTCGGGGAGAGGGGTGAAATTGGGAGGAGACTCCTACAGATAACACTTCAGGATTTCTTTTTCCTAAGACTGACATCTCCAGAAAAATATTTGACAGAAAGCTTAAAATTTATACTGGCTGATAATCAATGAAAAAGGAACAACAACAACAACAGAAAACCCTCCCAAAGTTACCAATGGGAAATTTTTCTACAGTCCCTGTATCCAAAATGGGGCAGCGCATGTTTAGATTTTTTAAAAGCGAGACTGTACTCAGAAGACACTGTCTCTTATGGTTTTATTACTTTTCCATTATGAACTTATTCCAAACCAAATTGGTCAAATGCAGATGCATAAATCTCCTTTGCTTTTTTTAAGGCTTAATAATTCTGTAAGAATTTCTGTCCAAACCAACATGGTCTGGCTCACAACTACATTTCATCCTTCTAACAGACAGCTTTAAAGTTACAGTGAGTTGGAAGGGGGGTGTAAATCTGCATACTACATGCTTGCATTTATATTACTGAAAGAGTATCTCTTCCATCTTTACCTAGCTCCTCAAACATTAATCTCAAGAGGTTTTATAAAATACATCGCAATTCTGCATGCAAAAAGTTCTCTTTATATCCAATGCTTCACTGGATAAGTCATACTGAAATTCCTATTCATTTGTAGGAATTATTTTAACATTGGGTCAGGAATTTATCCTCCAACATAATGGAAGGAAACAAGAAAAACGCTTAGAAATCCACTGTGTTCACACTACCAATTTTATTTTACTTCCTGGTTTAGAAAGAGTTTAGCAAGACAGCCTGCTTTAAACATGCAATAAAAGCCGCCTTGCAATGGTGGGCAGGCATGTCAGAGTGTGACTGTGAAGACATACAAGCAATAAAATGGGCAAAAAGTTCCCTTTGGCTAGGGTAATTTTCATAAACTGCTCTTTGTTATGAAAATAGAGGTACTGGGGGTGGAGAGGGCAGGTATGAAAGATACTGATTAGTGGAATACAAAAATGTCAAAAGAAACATATATGCCACCTAGTAAGTTGCCTGGCAAAACTGATAGGAGTTGTGGGGGATGTTGGAACATGGCAACTTGAACATAACTCCCATCATCTCCATTGTCAGCTCATTTCTCCTAAGGAGGTATCTGGTAGGGCCTAAAAGGAATTTTGGACATCTTGGTGGACAAGAGATTTCCAGTGTGAGGATTTGCTAAGTTAACCTGGAGAACTGCACCAGACTACCCTAAAGCAAGGCTGGGAAAGCAGCAGATACTGGCAAGAACTTGGCCACGAGAGAGCTGTTGATTTTGGGGACCAGGGTTGGCAGGGACGTCTGGCAGATCTGCCTGCTCTCTTCTGGATTCCAAAAGGCTAAGACAATGCAGATCAAATGGTCTGAATTTTCTCTATTCCTAAAGACAGGGGAGCAAGAGGAGACTGGGAAACAGAGATGCTTCCTCTAGGTCCCTTAGCAGGAAAGGGACTGGCAGTCTGCCTGATTCTTCAATGACAAGACAGACATAGAGACCCGGGGGCCATCCTCCACCTCTGAGACAAGAGTAACTTAGGGCATGTTTCAACCAATTAAAAAATTACAAGTCTTCAAAGGGGGCCCAGCTACAGCAGAATATCATTTACAACAAAAAGAAAACATGACTGGCAAAATACAGCTTTAGGGCACAAATCACTGTTAATTTTTATAAATATCCCATTTATATTTATGAGGAAAGTGCTTTTCTTTTTTTTGAATACAAAGGTTAATATCTATTTATTTTGGATCAAGGCTGTTTTCAAAATCCCCTTTGCATCCCTATCTATATTATCTACTTAATATGTCAGCTTCTAAAAGCAGTGTGATAAAATTTTTCATCAGGCATGAGAAAATACCACATATTCTTCATACCTTTAAGCTGAGAGATGGCATTGCATATTGATATTACATAGAAATTGATGGCATCTTCATAGTGAATTTTGTCTTTTACAAAATATGCCTCTGTGCTTCTGAATGCTATTTTTAAACCCTGAATTCCATTTAGTATGGCATTAATATTGCTACTTGCTTATTGATATTTGCCTGGTACGTATTTTTCAATCAGTTGTCTTTCAATCTTTCTATGTCACTGTTTTCTGAAACTTCGTATGACTAGATTTTCTTTGAAAACTCATCTCAAAGTGCTTGTTATTACTAGGGGTACTGAATTCATTTACAGTGCTTGTGACTATTAGCCTTATTTCTGCCATCCTATATTATGCTATTTTCTCTGCTTCCAGTTATTTCCCTTTTGATCCCCACCGGTTTCCTGACTAAATATATTTAAACGTTACATGCATTTGTTACGTAGGTGTACATTTACAACAGGTGCAATTAATTAGCATTTGCATCCTCCAGCAGGGGGAGGACTTTGGCGCACTGGCACTTTTGTCCTTCCTTTCATTTGTCAGCCTCCCAAATGAATACATATACCAAAGTCAGCAATAACAGAGACCCACCACAGGTTTAACTTCTATTTGGTGTTTCATAGATCCCACATTTTCCTACTTCTTAAATTCACTTTTTTTCTTTTTGAGATGGAGTTTCGCTCTTGATGCCCAGGCTGGGGCTGGGCACGATCTCGGCTCACTGCAACCTCTACCTCCTGGGCTCAAGCGATTCTCCTGCCTCAGCCTCCTGAGTAGCTGGGATTATAGGTGTGCACCACCAAGCCCGGCTATTTTTTGTATTTTTAGTAGTAGAGACGGGGTGTCACCATGGTGACCAGGCTGGTCTCGAACTCCTGACCTCAGGTAATCCACCCGCCTCGGCATCCCAGAGTGCTGGAATTACAGGCATGAGTCACCGCGCTGGGCCCTTAATTTTTTAATTGCTTCAGAGAAGGTCTGTGGGGAAGAAAGCTTTGAGTTCTTGCATGTGAAAAACTAACTTTAGTTTTGCCCTCCCCCTCCTGAGTGTTAGTGTGCCCAAGAACGTAAGTACAACTCAAGGCATCCTTTCCTTGGGATTTTGAGAGTATTCAGTATTAGAGATAAGAAGACGAGAAGTCAATCTTCTTCTACTGATTCTTTCTCTATTTTCCTTTTCCTTATTACTTTTCCCTAGGGAACTCCTATAAAAGAGATGTTAGATTTCCAAGATTAATTCTACCTGTATCTTAAATTTTCTCTCATTTTTAAGTCTCTATATTATTGCTACACATTACATTCTAGAGGGTTTTTTTTTTTTTCATGTCTCCATTTTCCAGATGTCTAAATTTGGTCTTTGATCATATCCATTCTATCATTCAGAACTAACGCTTGATATTTAATTATGGCAATGCTTTTATTACTTTTCAAAAATGCTTCTTTACTATTTCTTTCAAATCTCTCTGAGCACTCTAATTATATTAATTAATTATAGCTCTGAAAAGTTGTCTTCTGTCCCCTGAATTGCCTGTTTTCTCTCTAATTCTTCTGTTCACTTACTTTGTTGCTTCTTCATGGCGGGGGATGTCTGGCTGTCTATTGATATTATTCAAGTTCAAAGGATAGGCTGATTAGTATTATATACAAAGGTTGTGGGTGACTTCTACTATATTCTAGGTATGCTTCACCCACAGGTGTCTGTCCTGAATGGGATGGTCTATGGGCTTTGTGTAACTCGGTGCAAAGGGTTAGGATACGCTGGCAGGGTGTGGACCTTCCAAACTGCTGAAATGTAGGGAACTTCACTTTAGGGGTAGAATAATTTATTTTAAATTCTTCTTGGGAAAAGCTGCCATCAGTTTATTTTTTTCTGCATCTATGGTAGAAGTCTTGAATTACCTTCAGTCCTGCCCTGTTTTCTATCCATTCCGTACACTTATCCTCTCTAGGGAAGTGGTCTCTTTCTTTAGAATTGAGCTCTGAGCTTTTAACTTGGATACAACTGTCTCCTAAAGCTCCATATGAAAACCAGGAGAGAGTTCCACGCCTGGCAATCCTGAAGAAAGTACAGTTCCCTAACTCATGTTCATTATTTACCCTAAAACCTCCACCTCCACTCCAGGCATTCTATTCTTCACTCAAAGGTTAACATTCTCCAGTTCTGCTCTTGTATTAGAGGTAGTTTCTCCTGCTGTGTTTTGGACTGTGGCATCTCTCAGTCCAGTTTCAGAGTTAATATGGCTATTTCCTTTCTGCTGAGGGCCAGTGCTAGCATTTTCTAGTGCCAATAAGGAATTAAAAAGAAAAAAATGCATTTCCTGACATTTTAAGGTATTTGGGAAGATAGGAGAGATGGATGAATATGCTCAGTCCATTGCCTTGATTCAATTTCTTCATTACTTTTTTTAAGGGCTTAAGGACTGGTTTTAAACTATTATACCTTAAGCTTTATGTCCACATAATTAACAAATTTGTACCAACAGTACTTTTCTCATAATACACAATCTAATGTTTGCAAAAGCATCATGATCACACATGTAT